CTGTGGCGCTGACGCTGCCGATGTGCAGGGCGGGGCTGTTGTTCTCGGGAACAAACAGGGTGTAGGAGGTTTGTGTGAAGGCGGGGGCGTTGTCATTGACGTCGGAGACCCGCACGGTTATGCTTTGCTCGGTTTTCAGCCTGGGTGTCCCCAAGTCTGTGACGGTGATGGTGATGTTGTACTCGGCTCTGGTCTCTCTGTCCAGCGCGCCTTCTGTTACTATGGTGTAGAAATTCTCCACGGAAGGTCTTAGTAGAAAGGGAAGATTGTTTTCTATTGAACAGATAACCTGTTGGTTATGTCCAGAGTCTGCGTCTGAAATACTGAAAACTGCCACTATGATCTCTGGCAAGTTTTCTGGCACGGGGCTGATGAGGAAAGACATGGTCAATTCCGGGGCGTTGTCATTCACGTCCAGGACCCTGACGACTAAAGAGCATTTTCCTGTTAGGCCTCCGCCATCTGTCGCCTCAATATCCACGTCATATGACTGAACTTCCTCAAAATCCAAAGCCTTTCTCAGCCGAATTTCTCCTGTGATTGCGTTTATTTCGAAGGGTTGGTTGACGTCATCGTCTTGAAACAGGGCGTAAGATACCTCCCCAAACGATCCTGCATCTAAATCTCTGGCTGAGACGGTAATAACCAGGGAGCCGAGGGGGTTGTTCTCAGGGACTTGCGCTTCGTAGAGCTCCTGAGCAAACTCAGGGACGTTGTCATTGATGTCCAAAACCTGAATCTGAATCTCAGAGGTCCCTGACCGAGGCGGAGACCCGCCATCCAGCGCGGTGAGCGTTAGCCTGAGTCGGGGCTGCTCCTCGCGGTCCAACGGTTTGTTCAGCACCAGCTCCGGGAACTTCCTGCCTTCGCTGCGATTCCGGGTGAGAACATGGAAGTGAGGGTTGGAGCTGATTGTGTAGCTCTGAAGGCCGTTGCTGCCAGTGTCTAAATCATGTGCCATTTTTAAAGGAAATATCTTTCCTGGCGTAGTAATTTCTGATATTTTCAGGAGCATTTTTCCGGCAGAGAATTCCGGGGCGTGGTCATTTATATCTCTGACTCGCAAGGAAGCCTGAAAAAACTGCAAGGGGTTTTCCAGTAACACTTGGAAAGGTAGCACACACGGCTCAGTGGGGCCACACAGCTCCTCCCGGTCCAATTTTTCATTTAGCAGTAAATCATGGGTCTGTGGATCCAGCTGCAAAAGTTGTCTGTTCCCTTTGAAAACAACCCAGGCGCCTCGTGCAGCCAGCTCCCCCACCCTCAGTCCCAGGTCCTTTGTCAAGTTGGCCACAAATGTGCCACTTTCTGTCTCCTCCCACACGGAATACTGAATCGATTCAGAACCCCCCTCTCCCCAAAGCACCAATAAAATGAAGAACGCCACTTGCCTTTTCTTGTTATGTGCTTTAGTTTGCTTCATGTCTATTGTTATGTCTGATTCCAGAAGAAAAATCCTTTTCAGCTCCCAATCACCACATCCACAGTCGACTCTCGGAGATATCTTTGCTAGAAATTTTAAAATTCGTTTTTATAACTTGTCTAGCGACGACTGCCTTCCTGGACACGTCTATCTCAGCTTTAGCTGTAAATGTGGTCTGTATTTTTACTTGGCTTCTGGGTGAAACGGAGTCCACCGAATCTGCAGAGCTGTCATCCACTCTCTTAGCCTGTACCGCCACCACGCGTCCAAACTAATAACTTCATGAGATATTTTCAGGTCAATAGCATTTCCGAAATCTGAGCATTACAAAGATTTTTAAGTTGAGTCAGTGTTTCTCAAGCTGAGTGTGTGGACCACATGCATAAATAATTGCTTGGGAGCGTTGGTTTTTTTGTGTATGTTTTTGTTTTAAGCCAAGAAGTACATATGATAGATGTATCTAAGCAAAAAAGTATTTAAAAGAGGGACTAGAGGCAATCAAGTATTTGATAAGCATTTTAGGATTCTACTCTATTTTTGGATGAATAGAATTAGACATTGTTTTAAGAGGTTTGTGCATTTTTTTCTGAATTTTTAAAAATCAAATTCCCCTCTTACATTATTTAATCAAGGTCCAAATATATTACCCTGTTGTACCAACATGACACAATGCAGAAAATGAACATTCAAGAATCACTTTCACCATCTTCTCACAGCACAAAAAACAGCATGTCCTATAAATATAGGCCAAATTAAGGTACTGTAAAAAAGGTGAATTACATTTGAGTGAATGCTGTGGAATTCAATGATGGAATATTATGGCTATATCCATTCTCATCTCACTAGTTTCTGCTCAGATATGTTGAAAAATGTATCTCTAAACAAACTGAAAATGTATGAAATAGATTAATGCATATAGAAGGTCAAAATATGCCAAACAATTCAATTCATTTCAGATTGATTTAGTATTTATTGAGAGATGAAATCAGTTGAGCTCAAGCAAAGTTCACTTCAGGTAAGAGCCAAGGTGATAGAAGATTAAAAATCAGGATATTTTCAAACACATAAACTCTAGGTAAAATAAGTAAGGCTAAATAAAATCTAAACTGTGAATAGCTGAGGTGGTCTTGTAGTTCAAAATTACCTCCATGTAGCCAAAAAAACAAAAGATTATCAGTGTGACCATCTGCCAAAGTTCACTTGATAGATGTTACTGAGAACACACTGTTCTTTGAGGATGTGAATAACAAAATGAACTTATAAAGTAAAACCAACAATCATAAACATCTTGGATGGGCGTGGTTTCTTTGTTGAAACAAGGCCATTATTTCCTGCTCAATCTTAAATGCTTCTTTTTTTGAGTGGGCATTCTGGGTTCTGATTCCAGCTTAGTGGCATCCGCAAAGTTTTTATTCACTCTCTTTTCCTGAAGCACAACCAGGCATCCTCAAATATAGGTTGTTGAATTATTTTTTACTTCAAAGAAAATTTATCAAAAGTACAATATTTGTCAAATTTCATTTAGATCCTTGAAATGTCTTTGATAACATTGATAGTTTATAGAAAGAAGATAGCATTTCAAAGTACCCCCAAAAATATCAGTTGGGTCTATCAAGAAAGTGCCTTTTTATAGAAAATGGATTACATTAGATTGTTTCAGGAGAATGCGTCTCTGCCTTGCCCTCTTTTGCTTTGATTTGATTTGCTAGAGTAGAGTTGAATTAACTTTGCATTCATAAACATGTTCTCATAAGGAATCATTAACTTAAAATTTTTATTATGGAAAAATTCCAACATATAAAAGTAAACAGAGTAAGCCTCTGTACACAATCAGCTTCACATTCTGTCTTCTTGTCCTGTCTATACCTTTCTCTCCATTCTCTGCTTCCCACTCAATGATTACTTTTGCATAGTTCTTTCCTTAAGGCAATGTTTACAGAAATTGAAATGCACCAATCTTAACTGCACCACTTTAACAAATGAATCCATGTGTGTAATTCACACTTTTTTCAAGATATAGAACATTTTCATCATTCACTGGGAATCATCTTAATCATACTTTGACAGCTCAGTTTTATTAACTGGGGAGCAAAACCTTGGTCTCATCTAGACACATGATGGAAAAGTAGACAATGTGAAAAAGCACCATATCCCATATTCTTTATGCTCATGAATGCCAACGTGAAGTGATAGATTAATTAGCTTGATCGTTACCAGTAAGCTGAAATAGTATTTTAACTGATGAAATGTTGTAAAGTATGTTAAACTTAATTTTATGTAGTTAGCCTGTAATTATAGGTTCAGCAGCCCTTGTCCGAAATGCTTGAGACGAAAAGTGTTTCAGATTTCAGATTTTTATTTTAGAACATTCACATGTACATACTGGGATATGTTGGGAATGGGACCCATGCCTAAACATGAAATTCATTTAGGTTTCATATACATCTTACACAAATATCCTGAAGGCAATTTTATGTAATGTTTCTGAACAATTTTGTGCATGAAACAAAGTTTGCATTGTGTACTTTTGTGTGGAATGTCCCACTTGTGGCATCATTATATCACCTTCTGGCTACTCCTGTTTTATTCGTTTATTTATTGGCTCAAAAAGTTTAGGGCTTTGGAGCATTTCCTATTTTTGAATTTTTGGATTAGGGATACGCAACCCGTACCAGTACTGCACAGCTGGTATAGCTGATTTCCATTTTATGTTTCAGTTAATCCCATTAAAAATTTAAAACATTATTTAGCTTTATCAAAGGAGAAAGATAAACACCTACAAGGACAAACTGATTATTTTAAAACTCTTCTTTATTTATATGGAAAGAAAAACACAATAATACAGGGAAAAGATAGAGATTATATATAAGCAATCACTTAAAGTTGCCCAATTAATAGGAGATATGCTGCTAGAAAGTCGATAATATAAATGATTTGATACTAAATCACATTTGAAATCTAAAATGTTTGGGCAAGACTTTTTGTCAGTATTGCTAGAAGTTCATTATTTTATTTCATTTTGTTTTCGATGTTTTCCAAATAACTAGTTCTTTGTTTCTTTATTGCTTTATTACTTTTGCTTTAAATTTTCTTGATTTCTTCTACTATCTTGTTATTTTCTTCCTTCTGAATGCTTTGGGTTTATATTCTTCATCTTTTTCTAGATTCTTGAGGTAGAAGCTTGAAATTGATAAACTGGTGGGTGATGGATTTGAGAATTTTCCTCTTTTCTAATGTATGCATTTAGTGCTATAAAGCTTTCCACTCTGCACTGTGTTAGCTATGTCTCATAAATTTTGATGTGTTGTATTTTCATTTTCAATTCAGGTCAATGTATTTTTAAATTTCCCTTGAGATCTTCTTTTTGATGTAAAGATTATTTAGAAGTATGTTTCTTCATATCCCCCAAGTTTTTGAAGGTTTTCCTCTTAGCTTTCCATTATTTATTTTTAGTTTAATTTAGTGCTTGGAGAACCCACTCCGTATGATTTCACTATTAATTTGGCTGAGGTTGGTTTTATGGCTGAGGATGTGGTTATATATGTTCTGTGAGCATTTGAAAATAATGTCTATTCTGGTATTGTTTACTCTGGTGTATTCATATATTGGAGTGTTCTGGTGTATTCTGGTATTGGAGTGTTTTATAAATATTAATTAGATGCTGTTGGCTGATGATATTGTTGAGTTCTTCTGTATCTCTGCTGATTTTCTGTCTAGTTATTCTATCAGTTGTTGAAGGTCATTGAAATGTCCAACTGTAATTGTGGATTTCTCTATTTCTCTTTCTATCAGTTTTTGCTTCATACATTTTGCAGTTTTGTATGTATACATTTAGGATTGCAATGTTTTCTTCTTTTATCACTATATAATATCCCACTCTGTCTCTGATATGTCTCATGCAGTCTCTGATTATTTTCTTATGCTCTCATGTCTACTTTATATGACATTATGGCACTCCTGCTTTATTTATTTATTTTATTTTTGAGACAGAGTTTTGCTCTTGTTGCCCAGGCTGAAGTACAATGGCACAGTCTCGGCTCACTGCAACCCCCACCTCCCAGCTTCAAGCAATTCTCTGCCTCAGCCTCCTGAGCAGCTGGCATTACAGGTGTGTGCCACCACACCCAGCTAATTTTTAGTAGAGACAGGGTTTTACCATGTTGGCCAGGCTGGTCTTGAACTCCTGACCTTAGGTGATCCACCCGCCTTGGCCTCCCAAAGTGCTGGGATTACAGGCATGAGCCACTGCACCCATCTCTTGCTTTATTTTTTTCATTAATAATTGTATACATTTTTGTCTTTTACTTCCAATCTGCCTATATCATTATATTTGAAATTAAGTTTCTTTGAGACATACAGTCGGGTTATGATTTTTTAACCCATTCCCCCAATGTTTTTGTTTTAATTGATGTGGTCAGACCATTTACATTTAATGTAATTGTTGATTAGTAGAGATTAATGTTGACATTTTTTGTTTCCTGTTTTTTTTTCTGTTTTCATTTTCTAACTTCCTGTGGGTTATTGGAACATTTTTTAGAATTCTGTTTTGATTTAGCTGTAGTGGATTTTTTTAGTGTATCACTTTTTATAGCTTTTTAGTAGTTACTCTAGGTATTATACTATACATACATAACTTATCAGTTTACTGACGTCATTTTACCAGTTCAGTTGAAGCATAGAAAATGCATCTCCCTTTGTGTCCTTTTGCCCCCCTTCATTTATAATAAGTTTTAAATAATTCCTGTACATACACTTAGGACCACATTTAGAAAGTGTTATAATTTTGGATTTAACCACCAAACATAATTTAGGAACCTCAAGAGAAAAAGAAGTACATTGTATTTACTCATATTTTTGTTTCTTCTGTTGTTTCTTCTTTCTTGATGTTCCAAGATTACTTTTTAAATTGTTTCTTTCTGTTTGGAGAACTTGAATTAGCAACTATTTTAAGGTAGGTATACTGGTAACAAATTCTTTTCCTGAAGGCTGGTTTCACCGGACATAGGATTTGGGGATGACAGTCCTTTTCTTTCAGCACTTGAAAAATATTGTGCAACTTTCTTCTAACTTTTATGGTTTCTGAGAGGAATCTGATTCAAACTGTCATTGCCCTGTAGGTAAGATGTCATTTCTCCTTCATTACTTTAAAGATATTTTGTCTTTAGTTTGCAGAAATTTGACTATGATTTCTCTTGGTATGGATTCCTTTGGGTTTATCCTGTTTGGGATTTTTTTTAGCTTCTTGAATCTCTGGTTTATGCCTTTTGCCAATTTGCTTTATTTCCAGCCATGATTTATTTGAGTATATATATATATATATATATATATATATTTTTTTTTTTTTTTTTTGAGACAAAGTCTCGCTCTGTTGCCCAGGCTGTAGTGCAGTGGCATGATCTTGGTTCACTGCAACCTCTGCCTCCCGGCTTCAACTGATTCTCCTGCCTCAGCCTCCCAAAATACAAAAATACAAATTTACACCACCATGCCTCGCTAATTTTTGTATTTTTAGTAGAGACGGGGATTTCACCATATTGGTCAGGCTGGTCTCGAGCTCCTGACCTCGTAGTCTGCCCACCTTGGCATCCCAAAGTACTGGGATTACAGGCATGAGCCACCTCGCCCAGCCCTTTGAGTATATTTTTAGCTGCACCCTCTTTCTGATCTCCTTCTGGGACTCCAATGACACAAATGTTAGATCTTTTGGTATGGCCCCACAGGTTCTTGGCTTCTGTTCATTTTTTATGATCTATTTTCTCTTTCCTCTTCAGAAGGATAATTTCTATTGTTCCATCTTCTGGTTCATTGATTTTTTGTTCCCTCCATTCTGCTGTGGAGCCCATCTCTTGAGTTTTTATTTCAATTATTATACCTGGGTGTTCTGTTTTGTTTTGTTTGCTTGTTTGTTGTTTTTGACAGTCTTGCTCTGTCACCCAGGCTAGAGTACAGTGGGTAAATCTTGGCTCACTGCAACCTCCCTGCCTCCCATGTTCAAGTGATTCTCCTGCCTCAGCCTCCCAAGTAGCTGAGATAACAGGCATGTGCCACCACATCTGGCTAATTTTGATGGTTTTAGTAGAGATGGGGTTTCACCATGTTGGCCAGGCTGGTCTCAAATTCATGACCTCAGGTGATCCATGCATCTCAGTCTCTCAAAGTACTGGGATTACAGGTGTGAACCACTGCACCTGGCCCAATTATTGTATCTTTAATTTCTAAAATTTCCATAAGCATTTCTTTATATCTTTCTCTCTTTTTTTGCCAAGACTCTGGTTTTCATTTGTTTCAAATATGTTTATAATTGCTCATTGAAGCATTTTGATGAGGTCGGTTTATAAATATTTGTCAGATAATACTAACATCTGTCATCTTGGTGTCAGCATCCCTTTGTTGTCTTTTTCATTCAGTTTAATATTTTCCTGGTTCTTGGTATGACCCAGATAGTCCCTTCCAGGATGTGTCCATACCCAAAAGGAACTCTTGCCCAAGTGTGTGAGGCAATATATCCAATAATGCTTATAGCAGCATTGTTTATAGTAACCAAACTCTTAGAACAGCCAAAAAGTCAATCATTAGGAAAATGAATTTAAAGGTAAAAATGTATTTATACAATGGAATACTATAGAACAGTGTAAATTAATGAACTGAATTAATATAAATAAATTCAATACCATAATGATTAAACAGAGCAAGCTCACAGAGGATCCACACTACATAAATTCATTTATATAAACTGCAAAGGCAGATAAAACTAAATGATATATCATTTAGGAATACATGCTTATCTATTGCAACTATAAATAAGAACAAACAAGTACAAAATTCAGAATACTGATTGCTTTACACAGGGTTGAAAGACACATAACGTCTTTCAACAGGGAGGCACACAGACTTCCAAGGTCTTGGCATCGTTCTAATTCTTAAACTGGGTAATGGGTAGACGAATGACTGTATTATTATTGTTTTAAATTGTACATATATGTATACACTTTGTACGTATATTCTGTATACACTGTTTTGAATTCTGATAGATTTTTAAATAGAAAAAAGTGAAAAACAAATAGCAAATTCTGAGCTGGGCATGGTAGCATATTTCTGCTACTCAAGAGGCCAAGGCAAGAGGATCACCTGAGCTGAGAGGTTCAAAACCAGCTTGGGTAACACAGCAAGACCTTGTTGCTAAAAAAAAAAAATAAATTATTTAATAAAAATAAAGCATTGTCTCTGGGGTCCGGTTGACTGGATTCAAATTCTACTTCACTGCTTATTAGCTAGGTGACTGTTGAAATCCTAACTCCCAATGTGAAGGTAGGAAATAGGGCTTTTAGTGGTAATTAGGTCATGAAGGAACAGCCCTGAATGAGATTAGTGCATTTATAAAAGTGATTCCAGAGGTTCTCTTGTCTTTTTTTCTGCCATGTGAGGAAACAAGGAGAAGTCAGCACTCTGAAACCTGGTAGAGGGCCCTCACCAGAACCCAACCATGCTGGCACCCTGAATTTATACTTCCAGTCTCTAACACTGTAATAAATAATTTTATGTTGTTTATAAGCCACTCAATCTATAGTATTTGTTACAGCAGCCCAAACTGATTAGGACAGTGGCCTTGGGCAAGTTGCTTTACCTCTATATGTTCTACTTTGTTCAACTTGAAAATATAGACACTAATTATTCCATTATTTTGAGGATCAAATGAAATATGTATAAGGTATTTAGAAAATAGCCAAGTATGTAGTAATGTAGTAATAATTATGTAGTAATAATACTAGTACATAATCCATAATGTTTAGTAAAGAGAAAGTTCATAGAAATTTAAATATGCTGCTAGTATTAAAAATTCATTAGAAATACTAAAAAATAAAGTGAGAGACTTCAGAACATAGAAGAAAGCTAAAGATGTAAAATAAAAGAGAATATAAGAAACAAATAATTGAGAATATTCAATATCTGACAAGCACAAGTTTCAGAAGAAAACAACAAGATTAAACTTAGGGATATAACTATTAAGAAAATAACAGTAGACTATCCTGGTCAACATGGTGAAACCCCGTCTCGACTGCAAATACAAAAATTAGCTCGGTGTGGTGGCGCATGCCTGTAGTCTCAACCACTTGGGAGGCCGAGGTAGGAGAATCGCTTGAACCCAGGAAGCAGAGGTTGCAGTGAGCCAAGATCGAAACACTGCACTCCAGCCTGGTGACAGAGTGAGATACCGTCTCAAAAAAAAAGAAAAGAAAAGAAAAAATAATAGTAAAAGTGGGCCAGGCACAGTGGCTCACACCTGTAATCCCAGCTCTTTGGGAGGCTGATGCTCATGGATCACTTGAGGCCAGGAGATCAAGACCAGCCTAGCCAATATAGTGAAACCCTGACTTTACTGAAAAATAAAATAAAATAAAATAAAAAATTAGCTGGGTGTGGTGGTGAGCACCTATAGTCCCAGCTACTCAGGAGGCTGAGGCAGGAGAATCACTTGCATCCAGGAGGCAGAAGTTACAGTGAGCTGAGATTGCAGATTGCACCACTGCACCTGGGTGACAGAGTAAAGTCTGTCTCAAAATAATAATAATAGTAGAAATGAAGTAATCCCATAGAGAAAAAGGTATCAATTGTTAGAATACATAAATACATTTAGTGTTCAGCAAAATGAATGAAAAAAATTATAATTCTATTATTAAATTCAAGGCATCTAAAAGGAAAAGAGAAAATCCTGAGGGAAACAGACACAGAAAATTCATTTCTTCACAGAAATATGGAGAGAGAGAGAGGGAGAGAGATAAAAAGAGAGAGAGGTGAGGGTATAAAAAGTATTAAGAATCACACTGGCATAAAATTTTTTGTCAAAATTATAAATCTATAATCAATGTATTAATGATTTTAAATTTCCAAGCAAGAATTCTATATCTGGCCAAATCATCAATTATATATAAAGGAAAACTAAATGCATTTTCAGCCTGGCAGAGACCCAGAAGTGTCTTTTTTGTGAACCCTCCTTTAGGAAGACACTTCAGGATATATTGCAGCAAAGAGAGGGGATTAAAAGGGAGACAAGAGATCTGCTAAGTAATGTATTCAACCAGGAGAGGTATGAAGATACGATGATAGTTTTGTACAGATTTAGAGATCATTTATCCCAGATGGAAGTAAAAAGCTAGAGGGCTTCAGGTTAGGAAAGGCGAATTATTGACTGAGATTTTGAAAATATGGTAAAGCTAGCTAATGGAGTCTAAAATGATGAATCTATTTGGTTTTGATTTAGTAACATGCTGTTCTCATTGGTACAACATTGGATCCAAAAAGCAGGAAAGATAGTCTCTATCACTAAAAAATACAGTGAGAGACTTAGAACATAGAAGAAAAGCTAAAAATGTGAAATAAAAGAGAAATATAAGGAACAGAGAAACAACTAAGAATATTCAATATCTTTTTTGTTTGTTAGTTTTTTTAGTTTGTTTATTAAGAGTATTCAGTATCAGACAGGCACAAATCTCAGATGGAAATAACGAGATTAAACTTAGAGATACACCGTTAAGAAAATAATAGTAAAAATGAAGTAATCTCAAATCTTAGATTACTTAGATCCCTGAGTAATCCCAGACTACTTAAAGGTTTCAGTAAGTAATAGGGCTCTGTAATGAACAATGAGAAAGAGAATCAGCCCAATAACCTGAAATTGTTCTGGCACTCAGATGTTGGCCATGATCTTCTCCTGTTGAATTCTAACCGTTTCATAGAAAACCAAGACCAGAAGAGATCCTTGTGACCCTGATGGACCAACACTTCATGCTTAAGGAGAAACAAAAACAAGAACTATGTCTAAAACAAAAAAGAAAAAGACAAAAGAGCCCCCTTTCCTTGCTAGTATGAGTGAATGCTGCTTATTTACCAACTACAGATTTAATTTCAGTGTTCTTCCCACTTCCTAAGTGAAATTCATTAAAATTATATAGAATTACCCCAATTTTCTGAAAGCGTTCAGTCCAGAGCTAACCTGTACTTCTTGAACCTCCGTTAAAAACAGCCAACAGAAGCCCAAATCCTATAGCTCCTTTGTGAGACCCTGTTACTAAAGTGACCCATGTTTCCTATTGTGTGCAGTCTCCTTCATTGCAACAAATCAATAAACCCAACTTTGTTCTGATACAGTGTGTTCTTGATGATTTGGGACTGCAGGGCGTTCGTAATTTATATAGTCATTAAAAGTAAATTTTAAATATTATCTTCATGTTCTAAGATGTATCTATAGACAAGACAAGGAATTCTTAGCTATGGTGGTAAAAATGTAAAATGTAAAAGTAGAAGTTCAACTGAGAGAGGTTGGAATGTGTAAGAGAGAAACAAATATAAAAGGAAGAATAAGAATACTATTCTTTTTTCATACAAAAATCAAATGAAACTGTTATTAGTTTTGACCAGAGAAGTACCCAAAAATAGTAACATAGCTAAATCTGAAAAACAAAAGATGAAAGTTGTTTTAAGTGTGCTAGTTACTCAGCAATCACAATAGGAAATTAATTGTCTAAAGTTTATGAAAAAGTTACTATATTAGTTTGCTTGGCTGCTGTGGCAAATACCACAGACTGGGGGGCTTAAACAACAGACATTTCTTTCCTTACAGTTCTAGAGACTGAAAGTCCAAGATCAATGTGTTGGCAGGGTTGTTTTCACTAGGAGGCCTCTCTCTTTGGCTTGTAAATGGCTATCTTCTTCTAGTATCTTCACATAATCATCCCTCTGTGTGTTCACATGTCTGCCATCTTTCTCTGTGTTCTAATCTCCTCGTCTGATAAGTACAGCAGTTGTATTGGATTCAGATCTACCCTAATGAGCCATTTTGATATGATTACCTCTTTTTAAGGACCTGTCTCTAAATACAGTCACGTTCTGAGGTAGTGGGAATTAGGGTTTCAACATATGAGTTTGAGGGAGTATGGGAACACAGTTCAGCTCATAACAGTCACAGACATATTCCTTAGTGGTAAAAAAAAAAAAAGTAAATATAATAAGAGCTTTAAAAAAGGTATAAAATGCTTGCCAATGGGATAAAATTTAAAAAACAGACGAGTTTGTTGGCAGAAATGTGGAAAAATTTGTACATCCAGACAGTGGGGATAGCAGTGTAAATTAGTACAACCACTGGAAGACTATTGAGAAATGTCTACTAAAAGTAAACATGTACTTACAAGACGGGCAACAATTTCACTCCTAGGCATATACCCAACAAAACTGCATGCAGATTGCCAAACGTCGTGTAAAAGAATGTTCATAGCAGTATAGCTTCCCATCCCAAATACCTATCTAAAGGATAATTTTTTTTTTTGAGATGGAGTTTCGCTCTTGTTGCCCAGGCTGGGTTGCAATGCCTCGATCTCGGCTCACAGCAACCTCTGCTTCCCAGGTTCAAGAGACTCTCCTGCCTCAGTCTCCTGAGTAGCTGGGATTTCAGGCATATGCCAGCATGCCCAGCTAATTTTTGTATTTTTAGTAGAGACCAGGTTTTATCATGTTGGTCAGTCTGGTCTCCAACTCCAGACCCCAGGTGATCTGCCCTCCTCCACCTCCCAAAGTGCTGGGATTGCAGGCATGGTATAGTCATACAGTGAAATGTTATACAGCAATGAGAATGAAAGGACTAAACTTAAAAGCTGTATTATGGATAAATTTCATAAACATAATGCTAAGTGAAAAATGCCAGATGCAGGCAGCTTATACTCTATTACTCTGTTTATATAAATTCAGAAGAGGCAAGATTAAACAATGGTATTAGAAGTCGGCATATTTGCTATACTTGGGCTAGTAGTGATTGTAAGGAGTAATTTTTGTGGCACCTGGGGTGCCAGTGATGTTCCATTTTCTCACCAAGCTGCTGGTGCTACATATGTTACTCTGTGAATATATATTGGGTTGAACATAAAGGATTTGTTCACTTTTCTTCATGTAAGTAATAATTCAATTAAACGGTTTTCCAAACGTTTGCTAATAGAAATCAAGACTGCAAAAAAGAGTAAATAGAAGATTGTTGCATTTTGCATATTTTCTAACGTATTTGATTTGTTAGCATGTGTATTTGTCTTTGTTTTAAACAATTAAAATACAATGATGTGAAACATTTTTAGGTTTTGCATTTTAGTATCAAATATATAATACTCGGAGTGTGATCAAATAGAATGGGCAAAAAATAAAATGAATATTTGATTTTATTAAGATGGTTTATCACAACAAAAACCAACAAGAAGAGAAAAACAAATCTCAGGAAAATCAACAGCATGCATGAATTTGGAATGTCTCTGTAAATAAATGCAATTAAAATAAAATTTAATTTTCAACAATTGGACAACATAAAGCTTAACAGACAGATGCATTAAAAAGGGAAATAGCCGGGCGCGGTGGCTCAAGCCTGTAATCCCAGCACTTTGGAAGGCCGAGGCGGGTGGATCACGAGGTGAAGAGATCGAGACCATCCTGGTCAATATGGTGAAACCCTGTCTCTACTAAAAATACAAAAAAAAATTAGCTGGGCATGGTGGCACGTGCCTGTAATCCCAGCTACTCAGGAGGCTGAGGCAGGAGAATTGCCTGAACCCAGGAGACGGAGGTTGCAGTAAGCCGAGATCGCGCCATTGCACTCCAGGCTGGGTAACAAGAGCGAAACTCCGTCTCAAAAAGAAAAGGGAAATAAAAGCTAAATTTCAAGGTGAAATTTTTGTCCATGACACTTTCGAATTCTAGATCTGAAAAAGTTTGGGATAAATGGCACAAAACAATGCGTCACAATGAGATCGTTAGTTGAATCCAAAGCTATTCCGGAAGGCTGCAGTTTTCCCTACTTCATCACCAGCGCCCTGGGGCAAAAAGTTGGGGATAATTGGCTTAAGGAAATTAAACTCATTTGTCCCGGAATCCCCCGACAGACACACCTCGTACCGGTAGCTCTGAGACAGGGTCCCAGTGCCGCTCACGTCCACCAGATGCCCTGGAAAGGGACCCTCGGGCAC